ATTTGTCAGTACTAGATCCAAAGTTGACGAAATTTGGTTGGTTCCAAACCTGGTGGGTTCAAACACATGACTGTACAACGGATGACTGGATGAACTGCTTCAGATGACATTCAAATGGTGTACACGATGTAGTCACGTTGGTCAGTTTGGGACAGTTGAAGTCACCGACCTTCGGAAAGTAACGATATATTGCTTGTTCTGTGTATTTAGATCAAGTTTGAGTGGAATATATAAAGCAACACTGTTCTTTCAACAGGCAACTACCATTTTTTCTACCATATCCGCCATTAGAACTTAGCGCACAATGTTTCACTATGCAAATACTCTGGAATTCATCATACTACGGGTCACGTTGCGAAGGGAATATATTTCCCTTATTTCGTTAAAACAATTTTTTGTTTATCAGAATGGCTGTTCAACTGGCCGTCAAAGCTAGGTAGTGCTCCCAACATTTGCACTGTCGTTGCACATGGATTCACGAGTAGCCGGAGTGTTACGTTATGGAGCCCTCGTCAATCTTTTTTTCTGATAACTGTATTGGCCTAATCAACATGATAACGCCACGCGATTCGGAAGAAAGGGAGCATAAGAAAATCTGACACGTTTCGACTTGAGTACCAGTCAGTTAGTCTGTGCGTGAAAATGACGGAGAAATGCACCTGAGTAACAAGAAACTCACCAGCTCTGGAATGATAATGGGCCAGAGAGATGTCAACTGCACCGCAGACATCCGAGACAACAAGGTACGAGCGAATACAAAAACTTGGGTGTGAACCTGTGGAACTAGGCCTTGACCCAATCGCAAACATTCCGTCAGACGTTCTGAGAGAGAGGAGGAGGAACAGGGTATTGAAAGAGACGGAAAGTGAAAACATGATTCAAATAAGTTGTAGGGAACCAGTCTTAAACGATCATACAACAGTAAAATTTATATTTTGAGCAGAACCTCAGTCAGACTGCAAACCGAACGTACACCTGATTTGAACTGCGCTTGATCCAGTGGTGCGTATAAATATTGTGAAAAAATGTCATCAGTATACGACGATCACACGTTTGAACGCAGGTCACGTATAACCGAGCGTCTCCCTCTCTCTTTAAAAAAGATAGAGAAACCACAACAGATTGAGTTGTTTATATGACAATATACTTGGATAAGACGCACACTCGTATGTCATACGGAACGGAGTGATGAATGCAATTCGGGAAGCACAGTGTATGTGACCCGAAACGATAATAATCACCACGAAGGTGGCACCAGTAAACCAGGAGAGGAATGAAATCAAACCGCTCTTACCAAGTAAATCTGGCATGGCTTTGGCATACTGATCCGCTTCGCTAGCGTAAACCAAATAGGACAACTTTTTTAGACAGGCGGCTCGCAAATCGTGTTCCACTTCCTTGTTCGAGAACAAGTTCAAACCGGCCGGCTGGGAGAATGTCAGGCGAACTGGAATTGGACAGAGTGAAATTACACGCATTGAGATAGATAACGGAAATCAGTGCTCTGATGCAAACAAGCCTTAGTCTGTAGAGGACGAAGAGCGGCAAAGTAACGTACCCAATGCTTCTTTAAACGTGTTCTTATCCTGAGTCATCAGATTATCTACTATCACATTCCAGCTCTGTAAAGCAACAGGACTCATTTGAAAAAACACCGGCTCGTAGAACAAATCGAGAACTTCTCGACGCCAGGCGCGTCGGGTGTACTGGTAACTGCTAACTGAGGCCAAAAGTCCACTGGCTGCTTGAAACCGATCGGAATTACTAATCCTGAAACATAGGAAACGGGGAAAAACGAAAGCAATGTTACAGCAGAAGTGAGGTTGCTTATCGATCAATATGGAAGGAGACAAAAAAACACGTATGACAAGCAATTACACGTTCACACGAGCGAAACCATGGATCCTCAATGTGACTCTCTCTCTCTCTCTCTCTCTCTCTATATATATATATATATATATATATATATATATATATATATATATATAT